TACCCCACAATTCACATTTAACTGTCGCCTCATACGAGGCTTGCGTGTCTGATACACCGTGACGTCCTTAGGACATCTTTGAACATTCTCCGCTCAATAGGCCCTGTGTATATGAAATAAAAACACCCAGCTTTGCTGGTTTACTATAAGTGACAGAGGCTTTGCAATTTTTACAGGTAGCAGATTGTGCTTTCCGTGGTTGCAAGGAGTCTTCAAATAAACAACTTTTCTTCTCCTTGTTTTTTAGTAAGGAGTGCTGCAGCATCAACACTGTAGTGGGGTTACACGTATCCTTGTAAGAAAGGGCGAGTCGCACAAATTCGAGCCCAAAATATTTGCGTTTTTGAATGGACTCGTTGAAGCGCGAGTTCCTATGTGCAAAGTACACGGCACCCTCGTCGCACCTGGTATCACTTGAACTCAATTTCACGACCGAGTCGTGAAGATTGTGTCGTCTATGGGGTCCACTTACGTTCTTTCCAAGAAACAGTACTATTGTAGCGGATCGCAATTCGCTAACTCCACGAATACTGAAAAGCTTAACCAAGGTTAGGGCGCTTTCCGTTTAAAATTGAAACTGTATTTAATTGTTTTAGTTGCGGCAGAGCGGCCAATATCTAAAACCATAGTCTCTTTCTCTAATCAATATAGTAACACCTAATTGATATGCATTACTACTGGCAATACTGCCACGTGGTGGTGTCTTGTTACGGTGTAGCTACACCATTGTGATACTACACTAACCATGCAATACACAGTCGGTAATATTAGCTTAGCTTCCTCTAAGCAAAGAGCTGCGGCAGTTCCGTTGCAGTTGGTAGCACTCACAGTTAGTCTACGCCTAAGTCGTTACGACTGATCCTCTGTGATAATGAAAGAATACTCCTATTTGGCCCAGGGCATGCATGACAGGCTTAATAAGCTGATGTCCCTGCCGGACATTGAGGGTGTGGAGCACCTCGTTGCGCAAGGGCCTGAGGCCATAAGCCTGTGTCTAGAGGCATTTTCAAGTTCTGAAAATGCTCTGCCAGAGAACTTACAGCAGAAGCTATCAGCGTCGATTGCGTCTATGACGCCACCGTCGACGACGGATGATTCGACCTGACCCTGGCCGCTCATGGTGAATGTCAAGACCTTCGAGGGTAAGGATAGAGAATACGTCCTTCTCTGGGTAAGAGAGGCCGAGATGGCTAGGGCTTCCGCAATGCTCCAAACGAGCAACAACGCTTGGCGATAGCTAGCGCTAAGCTTGGGGGCCGAGCGCGAAAATGAATACTTACGTGTGGCGCTTTGATTGAATCTGCGTTCCCCTCTTGGTAGGAACAGAAGCTTCCGCTTTTGCGAGTGTTCTCGCCGCCTAATCAGGGATATCGCGTGCGATCGCGATTCCTTGCCGCTCGTCAGGGCAAGAAGGAATTGGTGGACTTTGTTTAAGAGTTGAGAGCTCTCGTTGCCGGGATGGCAGTCGATACCTTTTCCGAGGCGGTCGCAGTGACCGTCTTTATGGAGGACCTACGCACTGGCATGACCAGAATGGGTATCTTCCGTGTGCACCCGTCTTCTTTTTAAAGAAGAGGTGAATGTGACGTTAAATGCCGAAGTCAGCTTTACGTCAGCACGACCTAGCTGGAATGAACACTCTCAGAGCTCGTCGAGCGGGCCTGAGCCAATGGATCTCAGCTATGCTGAGAAAGAAGAGGGAGAGCTCCGAGCTGCCTAGCAGCGTTTGTACACCCGACGGTGCTTTGTCTGTGGGTACACCCGTCACATTCGGACAGAGTAACACGTTTTCCACTGGACTAAGACTGCGGAAATAGAAGCTCTTTGCTGGATATTGTTAATTACATTAAGGCTTAAATGGAGCAGTGAGTGGGGACACTGAACGACGCTGAGCGCGTGTTCCCACTTGTCGCGATGGATAAACCTCCAAGTGGAAGAGACGGCGATGCCGTATGTTGTCTGCAAGACGCAGGTCATCGACCCTGATCCAGGATGTGTCTACCGTAGACGATAGCGCACAGCTATATACCCTTGTGAACGGTATGACGAAAAGGAAGACGGCGACGCCACCCTCGAGGCTATAGAATGCTCTTCTTGAGCTGGACGAGATGTCCACCGAAGAGTTTGGTGGTCCCTTGAAGGCAAGCAATTTAGCTGAAGTGGTCATTATACGAAACAGGACACTAAGAGGGTACTAAACGCACGAAGTGGATCGTCGATCCTAAAGGATCCCTCGGATCCGTACTATCCCTTGATAAAGGAATTTTAAGACGTCGTCTCTAAAGACCCGCCGTCGGCCATACCTCTGGACCGAGGTGTGCGTCATGAGATCGACTTGGTTCCGGGAACCAAATACTGCGTTACACGC